AACATAACAAAATTGAAAAAAGTGAAGGGGGTCTGAATACTTTCTGAATGCACTGTATGTATGTATGTAGTGCGTGATGACAAAACTGAAGCCCACATTTTCTTTTTAGCAAAAGAAGGAATAGCTTCAGGAAATAGCCTGTGGTAAAAATGTCCTCTTTTATGCAGGTTGCTAGGGAAAGCAGCTTCAGATCTCTGCTATAGGGTACAGATACCTTTCTGTTAGGAATATTTGAATCCATAGTGCATTTTACTGCTGTCATCATCATCATCCCCTTTCAAAGGGAAGATAATTTATGTTATTTAAAAGCACAGTTATTTAGTAATCTGTCTCATTGTCACACTGGGGCCTTTGGAAGGTCAGGAAATACATTGGCAAGGATCAGGGGGCAAAACAGCTATGAAAGGAAAGAAGCATTAACCAGTGGCATGAACAGAGGCCCACAGAGGAGGTCAAGAATTCAAGGCACCCTTTGGCAAATATACAATGTGGAAACCTTCAGCAATTACCATGATGTATGGATAACTGGAAACAATTCTCTTTCCAGTTACAAAAGAAGGTTTATTAAAAAGAGATACTTAAGTCAGATGGCCTGCAAATTCTGCTGTGTATGCAGTGTGTATGTGCAGACAGAATTGCTAATGCACGCAGTTTTGTCTGTGCGCTAAATTGCTGTTCTTCAGTGTTGACTTTCTTCAGTGAACTTTCCAAACACGCCTGTGTGGAGCACCAGCTTGTATCACAGGGAAAGTGGCAGCTTTTTCCTAGATCTGTCCTCTTAGTGTGTCTGCCAGGCCTGTTAGGCTTGACTGGTGTGCTTGAGGAATTGTAAATGCATCCTTGCATCATGGCGGATTTACTTCGGGGCAGCCACTCTCGCAGAGAAGCCTGTCTGCCTTTGCTCATGTGAGAAATTTCTGATAAATTTCCGAAGAGCTTAAAAAGGGCTGCATTAAATTGTTGTGAATTTATGTGTAAAAAATTTTTGAGAAACGTTCAGGGAAGATTGGTGTGTAGGAGCAGCACCACTTCCTGTTTGTCTTTCCCTCATTTGTTTGTTTTTCTCTCTCTCTCTTTAGGGTTCGGGTTCGTTACCAGAAGAGACAGAAGCTGCAGTTTGAAACCAAGCTGGGCATGAATTCTCCTTTTTAATCCCCACAAGTTGGATGTGCCCTGGAGGGCTGCATGTCCCTTTCCTGCCCAGCCTTGTCACTTAGCAGCCTCATGCAGGAATCCCTCTGTGGTCTGACTGAAAGGTCAGCAGAGGTCCAGGCAAAAGTTTGACGCTGGGACGATGGCACATGGACGGCTGTCCTCGCCTTTATTTATTTCAGGACCTCCTCCCGTGATGTTTCTTGGAATCCCTCAGGTTGGCGTGGGTCTGAGGCATGCCATCTTCTGAGAAATTCTCTGATACTTTTTTAGGCTCCGCCAGTTGAATCCTGGATTTTTCACTTGTCGACCTCCCTCCTGTTGGTTTCTCCCGCGCGAGTGTGGTAGGGTGCGTCTGGCTTTCCAGTTCCACTAGGCCCTACAGGAAAGGCCCCACAGAGGCCGCCAGTGGTAGCTGCTATGGCAAAGTTTGCCTCTCCTAACATAGTGATGAGGCTGCCCTTTGTAGGAGAGGAACTAGCTATGCCTGAAGAAAAGTATTTGGGAGAATTGGATGCAAATGACTTGCAGGCAGGCTCTCAAATTAAACTCCCCTAGGATGCAACGTCTGTGGTCCATAACTAGCAAGCCAGGCCTTTCATCCATGTGGTGAGAGCATTTATGGGGAAAGTGAGAGTTTGTGGTTTTCTCAGCTTGGCCAGGTGCCATATTTTCTTAATGCTGAATACTAGTTGGCTAGATTTGGGTATATGTGGTAGTGTCACACACACACACACACACATATCCAAGGACTGGGAAGCCACGAGAATCTATGTGCTCCTGTAAACATGGATGTCAAAGTGTCCCATAAAGTAGCCTGGACCAGAGCTGTATGTCAGGGGTTTCTTATTTCCTTCTAGGAGAGCACATTTGCAGGCAACGGTCTCCAGCTGCTTTGAATGAGGGAAGGCAGGTAACGCTGGCCGTATCTCTTCCTGCCTCAAGTCCATGGGCCGGATTGTCACTTGCAAGGCCCAGCAGAGAGACTCCCTCAGCTGAATGTTGTCCTTGCCTGTACTTCAAAGCATATTTGAGCTGAAGCTCGAGTTAGTGAACTTAGGAACACAAAATACCTCATTCCAAAGTCTGTTCCCCAAAAAAGACGGTCTTGTGGGAACCTGCATACCCCTTCATCTGTCTCCTTTCTTAAAGGCCAGTTTAGCTATGATGAGTAATTTTCTTTTAGCAGAAAGCAAGTGGAACTGCGTTCTGCTATCAGTTTTTATTTCTCTTCTTCAAATTATTCTACTTAAGGCTATATTATATGTTCCATATTAAGACCTGTCCACAGACATAACATGCAGATGAGAGGGCAGGAGATGCTCAGGCAAAAGCTACTTTGGTCAGATTTTTGAGCTGCAATGTAATGTACCCAACTTCCATAGGTATGGGTAAGACAATCCCAGTCCACTTCCTACTGCTGTGTTTAGAATCACTGATTGATTGTGACTAATCCTACTCTCTTTCCACAGTGGACAAAATGGTATTCAGCTTTGCCAGGTAATAGTCACAGACGGATGCCTGACAGTATTGGACACTTTTCCAAAAGAAGATTTTCATAGCTGGAAATTTTTAGAAATTTGTAGCACATGCTAAAGCAAGACTATGATCCTCTACACACAGCAGAGTTCTTGAAAGTTGGTTTGTGTCTGTGACCCCTAAGTGATTTGGCCTGGGAAATTGATCAGTAATCAATTATTACATTTTTAAATAGGTTCCTGTCTAGACATTTCCTTTTGTTCATCAACTTTGCTGCTCTCCACATGTAGCTAAAAGCCTGTCATTTTCTCACTTTATCTAGCATATGTACTGTATGAATTTCTAGGAATAATGAGGTTTGGAATATGTATTCTGGTTCACACTAACCAACTATTCTATTAACAAACTACAATGTTGTCCAGGATCTGAATCCTTATTGGGGGTGGGAAACTTGCTCAATCCCAAGCTAAAATGTTGGGATGTGGAGAAAGGGAGGGGTTGCTTTGCTGTAGGAATGGGGACTCCCCAACAGGTTCAGAAAATGTCTTAGGCCGTTTTAATATACATTGATGAAAACCGAGTCTCCTAGAGAAGGTGCTTCCTGTAGTTTTTTTTTTTCTTTTCCTGAAAGCTGATCACTCTGAAAATGACTTTTCTCCTCGTTCTTTCATATTTCACTTTTTTCTCCTTAGTGGTACTCAATTGGAGTTAAACCATGACTGAAAAGCCTTTTTGATGGCGGTCTCCTGAAGGACTTGCTACCTTGCTTCCTGTTCCCTTTTTAGTCAGACAGGGCTTCAGAAAAGTGTGGGGCATCGCCTTAGGGATGAATTTCACTTAACAATCTGTTTTTAAATGGTGTATATTTTATATTTAAGATTTTTGGGATGTATGTAAAAAATAGATTTGTATTAAAACTTGTAAATTGTATAAAGAAACAAAGAGCACCTGATATGAATGGCAATAAATGATTGTCTTTGATACAGTAACATTTTCTGTAAGGATATTGTCATCTTTGGAGAACAAACTGGATAGACTTCATTGCAGGCCGGTCCACTTGCTTATCTGAACACAGTCCTGGAGATTGCGGACATATATAACAGGCTCCTGCTGTCTGGAGGGGGAAAATATTAAGATTTTATGTTATGGAGAAAGCAGTTTTATGAGACTTGGTAATCATATTAATAATCTTTTAAAGCATGCTCCATAATATAAATAGCCCTGCAAAGTATGTTGCAGATGGGAAGGAGATCGAAAGAAACAAATGTTACTTAATTAGTTCTCAAATAAAGTGAGATGTGAACCAAAGACTTAGGGACTCATCCTTCATGCTTCAGTTGCAACTGAATACATGCTAACCTAGGAGTAAGTCCCGTTGGATTTCAGAGAGCTTACTCTTGACCAGAGATGTATACAATTGTAGAGTTGGTTCTTTTGAGGGGTTGCCTTATTTGTGATGTGATTAAGTGACAACTGGCTAGGTTTGTGTTCTCCTCTTCCTACCCCACAACCTTTTAAATCAAAATAAATTTATTAATGAGATTTGGAGTGGAAGGCGCTCACAAAGTGGCTAACAGAAGGTGTGGCCTGTGAGGTCTGATTCTTATTTTAAATTGGTGTGCTAACCTTTCACCAGGTTTGGAAAGGTGCATGAATCTTTAAAATACTGAGTAGCAAGGCCCTACTCCTTCTCCTGTGGTGGCTTTTGAAAGGTTACCGATGTTTTACATCCTTAGGCCTGAGAATTTGTAAATTTACATTTGTATGTACCTGAATTGTACAGTCAGCACTAGCAGTTCATAGGCTCCAAAGCAAAACTTGTTAAGGTTCCTTAAGCTCTGTCTACTAAAACTAATAATATATTCACACAGTCAATTCATCTGAAAGCAAAAAGGAGACTCAGCTAGCCAAGCAAGGCCATCAAAAGGGAAAATTATTTCCACTATTTAATACCATCAAGTTGTAGGGTGTGTTAGTGGAAAACAATAAGCCATGATTAACATTAACAAACCAGATGATTTAAACTTTTCAAAACTGTCTGATATTCTTGTGAAGTAATTTCCCCATCATTTCCTGCTCCAAGGCTGGTTAGACTCAACTGCATCCATACATAATTTACACAGCATACAATATATTTCAAATAAACAACTAGTTCTTTAAAAATAAGCATTCTCTGAAAGAGCGAATAAAAACCAAAGATTGGATTCTCTTAGTAATAAGGAGAAAGAACAGCATTTTACTGCCTCCTAGTGGCTCAGACAGTAATGTGGTTCCACCCAGACCATAAAATACAACAGATCTTCGATTAGTAAATATATAACAAACCCACATTTTAAAAATATATACATATCTTTAATTTTTTTTACAGTTTTATCAACAGTGGGAAAAATCAGCTCAGCCAGTCAGCAAGTGTGAAATGTATAATCTATTTAGAAAAAAGTTTTATAGGAACCCTTTTTATAAAGTGCCACCGGTTGCAGCTATTATTCTTATAGCCCTAGGCATCAACCAAAGGCCAACTAATCCACTTGACATTGGATAAAAAGAGAGTCAAACATGAAGAGAAACTAGATCTAGGGCAAAGACCTGCTAAAAGGCTCCATTGTCAACCCAAAGTCTTGCCACTCCTATTTATGTTTGTCCCCTTCCCCATTTATATTTCACTTCTAAGAAATCAGTGCTTGTATTTCATGGTTCGTCACTGAGAAACTAAAGAATCACACTTCCTGGGCTCTAACAGTAGAGGGCTTCCCAGCAATGAAGGGAGCCATGGCCCTCCGTGCAACTGTGTCTACAGACAGCAGAAATCTTTAAAGGGGGAAGGGCGCTTGTCATAGTTTCAGGCATAATTAAAAGAAAACCTTGGCGATAGTCTGTCTGTAGCTTAGAATTTGTGTGCAACTTCCTTCTCCCTTCTCTCATTCAATCACATGAATGCAAGTTGCCAGGTTAGCTACTATCCTTGGCATAGTGCTGTAGGGGCTACAAACATACAAGACCACCTTCTTTGAAGTGAAATAGGGTAACGTGGCTATAGCTGGGCTTTTGCCTTCGGGACTCTTGTCTGTGGGTCAAGCTGTAAGCTTGTAGGCACTCTTTGAACAGGGGAAAGGACTAAGAGGGGCAGATTTGCAAAGCAACAGTTTGCAGCCCAAATTCTGCATTTTCATTTCCCTAAAAAGGCAACAGATCTATTAGCTGTCAAAAGTGTTTTGTTCCCTGCAGAGGAGAATACTGTAATTGGAAAAAGTCACTTAATATGGCTACAACTGAAACTCAGTTGGCATGTTAGCATATTTTTAAAATCATCACTAGGGGGTTTGCTAAACCAATCAGCATTTCCCTCACAGAGTCTACTGAAAGGGGGGAAAAAACAGAAGACAGATCTCTTCTTTGCTCTCTGGTCTTCCAGTCCCATGCACTGAATGAGTCCAAAGGATTTGGGAAAGGTTAAGTAGCTTTCAGGTCCTCCCAAAACCTTGCTTTGAAATGTTGCGTGCAAATTTTTTTGTGAACCACAGGCTGTGCCACCTACTTTTGGAAACAGGAAAGGGTGAAGTGAGGATTTCAGCCCATCTGGGTTATACGGTTTTCTGTATTGATGTACTGAAAAGGCCTCAAGGATTTGTCTTGTTCTGCAAACTGCCAGCTACTAATCAGTGTGATGGACAGTAGCTCTTTTGCTGTTGTCACTATCTGAAGAAATTAAGACAATGCTGCTACTATTGAAATGACAAAATCCAGGAAGAAATAATGAGTTACTCTTGAGAAGAAATGCATGGCATTAGGTAGGAGGAGACCATTTGAGGAGAAGCTCACAGTGACACTGATCTTCTTCCACAATTAGCCTGAGTGATAGATACTTTTTCTGCCCCTTTGCAACTGCAGTGTGGTGTGTATCATCAATTCATAAGGCTGGTACAGTTGCTCTGGTGTACAGGTAGAAACCAGGTCAATCTGCATTGGTGTGCTTGCTTCATCTTGTGTCAAAGGAATGGCACCAGAGCATAAGTGGCTATAAGTGGTTTCCAGCTGGAAACAAAGACCTAGGAGCCTGTATCCAGCATGACGTGTCGAGTAAGCAAGATGCTAACGTGCAGGAAGGAGAAGCTAGAAGTACTTGTGAGACTCATCATCCAAGGTTGTCCAGCCATCATACATGTCAGGTTAGAAGCATGACCCTATAACAATGCATGCAGAGAAGTGGGTGCTCAGTCCAACATAGCATCCAACTGCTCAGCTAGGTCATTGAACATGTTGCTGATGTCTTCAAGAATGTTCTTGGCTGAGTGTGTTGTCCCATAGCAGCTGCAGAAAAAAATAGGAGAAATACTGAGTGAATACAGAGTTTGAGTGAAACGGACAGGTCGGATGGATCTGCCCTTTTTGTGGGAACTGAAGACAGTTTCACCCACACACTTGATACAATTGCTTATCCTTGTTATGGGAATGTCTTCTTAAGAACAGACTGCATTCGTATTCATTATAGCTTATATTTATAGCTGTTTCATCTTTAAGGTGCTGCTGTTAAACTTCTGTACATTCTTAAGGCAAACAACACCCAGACCAATTCTTCCATCAGAGAAAGAGAGAGAGAGAGAGAGGAGAGAGAGATGATTGCCTAAGGAATCTGACCTTAGAAAGAAGCAGCTAATTGTTACTTAATCTAGTGGTGTTGGAGTTCTATTCCTAAGGAAAGGTAGGATTTTCTGCCTCAGTATCAAAATATCTTGGACAGCCTTTGGATAATATGCACCTCAATGTAGAGGGGCAATGTGTGTTTATCTGAAAGAAGAAAATAGGAAAAGAAGATGCACAGATGAATGTGTTGGGTGGACCACATTTACCTTAAGTAATATCCCAGAATATAGTATAAAATATGTCCGTGCATGGGAAGTTTTTTTTAAATGTGTCAAAAAATGGCATCTTTTATTTTGAAATGCAACGTTCATGCACTTAAATAATTTATCTTTGCAGCTTGCCCTTTCTCCCCAGATAGCCCCCAGGGCAGTTTATAAGAAAAATATTTGAAAAATAGCAAAAATGTTTTTTTTTTTACTGCTACAAAAGAAGTAGTAAAAGTAATAGGTACTTCAAGCATCTATGTCAACTAACAGGTTTGGCTCCAGTTCAGCACCTGCTTATGCACATACAGGTAAGGTATCTGCATCTCTGTCTCTTTCTCTTGCTGTCTCTTTTCAAATGATAGGTAGCCTTGGTGGTTAGATATGGCTAAGAAACTAAATCCTGGCAAAGTGAAGAAAATACTGGTTAGTCATCCCACTGTTCCAGAGTGGTGGTCCTTCCTGTGATAGAAGTTATGTTTTCCTTCTTAAAACAGATACAGGAGATTTGTACTGCCTCCAGAACTCTGCTTTCTCTGGGAATACAATGATAATGAAGATTTATCATTAGTAAAAGGCCATTTATTAGCTTCATCTCTTGCATAAGCAGGACTATACTCTTTCTCTGGGGTTGTGATCCTGATCTATGCATTTATACTCTGAAGCTGACTATTGTAGTATACTTTATAATGGGACTGCCATGAAGGTGACTTGGAAATTCTGTCAATTCAGAGTAATACTACCCATTGATTGGCAGAGGCTGGGAACAGCTTCCAGGCTTGGTATAAGAGACTCACTGTCTCTTGCACCCATATATGCCCAGCTACTGCATAGGTTTTCCTTGCTTTGAGGTCTGAGGCAAGAATAGGCAGAAGAGTACCACAATTACAACAGTGTGCAAAGATCTGTGGTTTTTAAGAAGTGATCCACATAGCCTGTGCCTGTTGAGAAGGCACTGTGGCCCTTTTTTGTTGCTACGTGGTGGCAGTGGGGGAAGAGAAACTTGATGGAGCCACCGTAGCTTAGGAGAATGGGAGAAATGTTGTGCATGTAATTTCACACCAGCCTACAGCTGAGCTTGAAAAAATCTGAATACATTTGGTCCTCATGAAGGGCGTATGTATTTGAAACATGCATTTGTGCTGTTTGTAACAAATGGAGTAACAGTATTCTGCATTTGGATATCTATCCCAATGCAACTTGGGCATGCCTTGTTCAATTGCTTCTACATCCAATCTACTCACCTGTCTGCTTCCTCTGCAATGATCTCCTTTTCGGCAACCTCAGGTGTGGATGCCAAAGATGAACTGGTTTGTTCCAGACGCTGCTGAGTATGTACTGCATCTGGACAGATGCTTGAAGGTCTTGGTGGAAGGGGCATCCCAAAACTGAAGGCAGGCTTATTGCTGAGCCCCAGCTTCATGGGATAGGGACTTGTTATTTCTGACACCGTCTCTGTGGTTGCCCTGGGGGGACTTGTGTGGTGAGAGTTTTGCAAGATTTGCTGATAGATGGTTTTGGGTCCTGAAAATACCAGCTTGGTGGAAGCGATGGATGTTGGCATGGCTGTCATGTCTGAAATGAAAAGCTATTGCTTAGTGTCCCCCATGGAGTTCAGCCAGTAAGGTACAGCAATGACAGGCGTCCGCATTCTCACAGAAAGAGCAAACAGTGGCTGGGTTCCCACAGCTCACTAAGCCATCACCCATAGATTATGCAACCTTTCTCAAGCCAAGGGACTGAAGGGTCACACTCTCTAGATCAGGTGTGGCTTCTATAAAGAAGTGGGCCAGACCAGGACAAAAACTCTGTCTGAATTAAATTTAAATTCACATAAAATTAATTTAGCAAACATAGTTAATACTGTCTACCAATAATAATTTTCCCATCTGTCATATTAAAAATTACAGTTTAGTAGTAATCTTGGGAGTAGCTCTGGAAGTTATTGCCAGCTTTCCCAATCCAGCAGCAAAACCTGCAACATACCTGTTACTGTGGCTGCACTGATTCTCAGCTGGACTGACCCTCCATGCTTCTCACTCTGCAGTGGCCCCGGACTGGCTGGTTTCAAAGAGACAGGCAGCTTGTTAATTCCCCGCTCCAGAGACAGGATGCTTTTCTCTATCTCACCTATTTGGAAAGCCATGCTGTCATCCTCCAAAGGGTCTGTGGTAGGGAGTGGTTCCATCACATGCAGTGAAGGCCCACTGATGCTTACTGTCTGGGCCTGGGCATACTGTGGCGCTGTGGTCGTTGTGCCTGGGCCTGGGGTGGCCATGCCAAATGCCTTCAGTACATTCTGGAGAGGTTCCCTCTCTTTGCACCGGGGCCGCCTCTTGACCGTGTCCGACTCTGTGAGATTGAATTCCAACACAGGGGCTTCTTTTGCTGAAGCCCCTTGAGGCTCTTTCCCATGGGGCTGAGCAGGAGCAGAGTCCGAGTCTGGAATGGGGGCATCTGCCTTGAGCTGCCCAAAAGGCTTTGGTCGCTGTTTGATGGTTAGGTTGCCTTCTTCTGCAAAGGGAATGCACTCACTGGAGCTGTTTTGGGAGGAACAAGGGGATTTGGTACAGTCCTCCTTCTCAACTGGAATGTCTTCCTCAGTGTCTGATCGGATGTCCTCATGGCTGTGCTGCACAGCCTCTGTCATGGCAACTGCCGATTCACTGAATGTTCGTCTCCTGGGAGTGTTATTTTCAACTTGGTTTCTACCATTCATGGCATTGGGGTTACCAAGGCTTCCTTGAACTGAATTGTGTAGGCTACCTTTCTTGGTACCTTCCTGACCACAACTGGGGATCTGTGGGGACTGAAGAGGCTGGGTTGGGCTCCCATCATAGATTGGCCTATCAAGCTTAGTAGCTGCATTTTTCACAAGGCAAGCTCTGTCATTAGCATTATCCCCTTCGTCCTGGGACAGCAAGGATCCATTCTGTGACTGTTGGCCTTGTTCAAACTCTGCATCAACAGCTGGAGGGCTGGAGACCGAACTGAGGCGTTTAGGAGGAGGAGGAGGAGGTCCTTTCCTCCGGGCACGGATAGCAAAAGACTGACTGCGCAAGACTTTAGCATCTGAGGGTGGTTGTGTCCGTGAAACCTGACTGCGCCCAGGCCGCCTGGTTAGGGTAGCGTAAGAGCCCACTGAGCTACTGGTTGGCTCTTCCTCATCAGGTTCCCCATCAGACAGTGCATAGCGGTTCAAGCTGTGCGAGCGTTTTTTGTGCTTAAAGCCTTCGCCATTTTGCTGCTCAGGCCTAGGCTTTGGGGGCACCTGAGGTGGCTCTGTAGGGCCGCAGTGGGAATGGAGATAGGAGAAAGCTTTCTGGGCAGTCGACTGGAGGATGGTCCTCTGGACCGACAAGTGGGTAGATGCCTTGGCCTGCTCAGGCACAGGAGGCGAAGGAGCGGACGGGGCCTTCAGTGACACGTGGGGATACATGAAGACGTACGGGGCTGTTCCCTTGCTGGTGGTGTGGGGCGATATGCAGGGGGATGGAACTGGTAGGGGGCTTGATGGCTCTGGTGAAGCACCTGGTCTCTGGTAGTGATCCATCCCCTCAGGCAGATTTCTTTCCTTCAGGGGACTTCCCACACAACTGCCAGAATAGCCATTGACTCCATCTGGTCCATTGAGCAATGGAATGAATTTCCCATAGTGGTCTGGACTGGATTGACCCTGGACGCTGGCAGAGTTCTCCACAGGACGGGGCTGGGTGAAAGAATGCCCTCCACTGCTCCCGCTGCTCCCTTCACCGCTACCCAAACTCTCCTGAGAATGGCTAGAGGAGGTGCTTTGGGATAGCATGTTTTCCTGGGAATGTCCTGATCCTCTGGATCGCGCACCAATGCTCTCTTGGCTCCGTGACATGCCTTGTGTACTCTTGATGGTCAATGTCTCTTGGCAGCTGTTGGACATGGCTGTCTGGAGCTCATGGCTCAGCTCACTGTCCTGAAAAGTGGTCATTTTGGGGGTGAGAGGAGAGTGGCACTCCCCATTCTCCACAGTCTCAATGGTGACTATTTCCAAAGCACCAGGGATCTTGCGCCTAAGAGTGCTGACTTCAGCCTGGCTCTGACTCTTACAAAGATCTGTCAGCTTCTTGACAGCCAGCATGATCTTCTTTTGGTGACCTGCATGTCACACAAGAAAAGCAGAAAAATAAACTCAGGACTTGTATGGGAGCCCTTTCTCTCAATTTCCCAGTTCCCTGCTTGATGCCAGACCTGTGGAGCATATATTAACTTAGGTCATTTCATATATAAGAAACAAGCCTTGGCTTTATTACAGAGGGCAGAACAGACGACTGGTAGATGCAGCACCACCTTCATTAAGAGCCAACGTGTATAGTGATTAGAGCATTCCCACTCAACCATGAAGCTCACTGGGTAGCCTTCAGCCAGTCACTATAGTGCAGCCTATCCCATCTACCAGCCTGAGGGAGAGGAAGAAATGTAAGTCATGTGGCTCATTCTCAAACAACAAACACTAGACCTCATTATTCTGAATGAGCTAGCAGAGGTTGGGTGGAGTAAGTATAGAGGATGGCCTTGAAGGAGAGATGGAAGGTCCATTGCAAGGGCAATGATCAGATAAATGAAGCTTGAGTCCAGACCAAGCAAGTGATTTACAAAAACACCTCAGACAGCCCTACCCCCCCAATTCACATGAAGATAAAAGGAGGAGGAAGGGAAGCACATGCAGACTTCCAAGATTCTATTGCTATAGCTGTTCTAATAAAAGTAGCTTTAAATCTACATGGTGTCTGTTTCTTAGTTTGGTCTACTTTATAGGGCAGAAATCAGGGAATACATCTCCTATCCTGGGCAAAAAGCCAGTGACAAAGATTATAGGATAGTCTCATGTACTTTGTTTAATTCAAGAATGAGTGATCACCAGCCCGTAATCTTGGACCTTCAACCTGTCAATCATAATGCACATCATTTAACTGTAAACAGTAGTGCAGACAGGTTTCATGAGGGAAAGGTGGTTTCAGACACTGTGGAAAGCAACTTTAGACCTGCTCAGCTCAGAGCAGTGGCCCCATCTTCAATTAACAATAATGCCAGCAGATTAACCGAAAATGGCTTTGAGCAGTTTGAGATACTGATGTAAACCCTGCTTGCTCCCTTGTCAAGATAATATTGAGAGTGGCTCCAATTCTGTGATTCTTAAGTGTCTATCCAATTACTATCCAAAGTTTCAATTAGTAGGAAAACAATAATGCTCTGAGAGAATTCATAGCAAACAGTCACAGCTTTTAAGTTGAGAAGTTGTGGAGTTTTTTAGCATTTGATTAGAAGAGGTTCATTAGACTAGGACTGAACCAAGGAGCTCAATGGACCCAGAATAGATGGGGATTTTAGCAAATGTTTGGGATAAATATTTTGGTTCCATCTTTACTGTAGCTTGTGAAAGTAAGCCCCTAGCTGAACCCAGGTAGACCTCTTACCAGAATGGGCCTATTCCATCCTATATTCCTAGATGTCTAACTGTTACTGCTGGTCATATGACCATAATAAACTTATAATGAGCTCAGAATCTTTTATGCTTCTGGTTACTGAATTAATCCTGGAGACAATTTATCTACATGGTCACTAAGAGGTGATACTAACTTCATGGCACATAATCAAACAATATTGAATTAAAGGTAAAATCTCCTTCAAGCTGAGCTCAACTCCTGGTAAGGTAATTAACATGCCAATGTAGTTTTCTAGCAATATGGAATTAGTTTTCCATTGCCTTTTTCCACAATAGTTCTTCACTTTCCTCTAGCCTACAATCTTGGGATTTCCTGGTTCAGTGCTGTTTAGTTTTTTAAGAGCAATCAAGATGAATAACTGGCTGGGTAATTAATGAATTGAATCCTAATAGACTTTACTGTTCAACCTATCACCCTCCCCCCCTTGTCTGAAAACTTAGTGAGCTCTCCACAGCATCTCACTAGGCCCAAGGCTCTTCTTTTCTATGTCCAAAAGGACCTCTGTAAGATGAGCAGCCTGGAAGGAGTCATTCTGTACCTGTGAAATAAGATCCCTTTTTCTGCATCATCTGTTTAAAGGGCATTTTCTCTAGTGCCTTGAGGATATTAAGGGCATTTACACAACACAAATGATTCAGCAGTCACCTCCACTGCTAATTCATTCATTGCTGCCTACCAGCAGTATGGAAGCTGGAATGAATGGGTTAGCTTTTATTTATCAATTTATATTTATCAATTTAGTCCTCCTGCATTTGTCCCTATTCCCTTTTTAAATAACAATTAAAAACAAGAACAACAACAATAATATATTCTTTTGCCAGAGTGGGAAAAATAATATGTGCAGCCATCCCCTTCTGTTTCATCTCACTCCTTACCTCAGTGCAACGATGGAGACATGAAAACCAAAACCGCCATAGAAACAGAATACCCAGAGAGTATTCTGTTTTGAAGGGATTTTTCAAGAACTCTTCAGGCAATATCACTGACAGAAGGAGTTACTTTAGTGGGATTAAATCTAACCCCTTTAGGATTAATTGGCAGGGTAAACTAAGCCAATTTTCCCACTCCCATGTTAAGCATGTTATGTGAGTAGGGCTATGGTATTCCTTTTTTAATTCATGACTACAGAACGGGGCTACAGTTCCTGACATTCTGTAGAAGGCAGTTGAGGAAGCTGAGTGAGGCGGCTGGGAGGGTGAAACGGGAGCAGCAGTTTTAGATGGGTCAGAGGTGGGTCATCTCTTTGAAGGATGTCTCATCAACACTTATTTGTTATGTACACCCAATAACTTATAAGTTTGGCTGTTTGGGGATGAAGCCAGTTGGCATATTTAGGTTATGCTCATACTCATGGACAAACAAGGCTGTCTTCATTCAAAACAGGATTCAGTTACCCTGGGAATTTGGTGCAGCGCCAAAGACTACACTAATTCCTGCTTCCAAAGAAAGGGACAAGCTTTCTCCCCTCCTCTTTTTCTTCTTCACTGTAAGAGATGGCTTTGGTAGTGAGCCAGCCAAAAGTTGATGGGGCGGCTGAGCTGGCTAACTCATCAAATCAGGCCATGACAAAAGGTGGGGAAGAAATGCTTACGGGAATGTCAACTGCTATGGTATCCTGTTCCATGGAGGCATCTGCATCCTGTTGTTGTTAAGAGGAGAGGATGATCTAGATCAGTGTTTCTTAAAGTGTGGTCCTAGGATTCCTGGGGGTCCCCCAAGATCCTCTCAGGAGTCCACAAAATCAAAATTATTTGCCAGCCTATGCTGAAAAATAATACAGTATTAAAATCCCATCAAACAATCATGAGAAGTGGAAGTGACAGCCAATGTGTCAATTTTAATTTTTAATACGGTGAATATCAATAAATATAACCCATACAAATAAAAACTCTTTTGGGGTCCTCCATAATTTTTAAAAGTGGGAAGGGGAGAAAAAAAGAAAAAGAAAAGAGAGAAAAAAGTTTAAGAAACACTGATCTAGAGATAGCAGTTCTGAGGTCTGCCTTGAACTGGTCTTCTCTGAAGTGGGAGAAGGCAGTTTCCTAGACCAAAGTAGAAAAAGTAAATGGAACATGGCTGCTCCAGCAAAAGGAAAAACTGACAGGAAGCTTTCATATAAGCATGACAATCAGTTCCAAAGGGAATAAACACCTAAGCATCCTAGTGCTAGCCTATATGCATGTCCTTCACTACTAATGCTCAGTGCAGATCAGGTGAAATTTTAATTTTTTGTATTGACTGATTTTAAGGATTTGGGAACCATCCCAAAGAAAAAGAAATGCAAGAAAGCAAAATGGCTGTCTGATGAGGCTTTACA